GGGGGCGGGGGCGGTAAAATATGGCATTTAAGGGGGCATCCCAAAATAATTCAAAAATAATCAATAAATAAAAAAGGTCTTTTGTTTTATTAAGGAGACACGTAAAAAAAGCAGGTTGCGAAAGAGTCATAAATTTTTGTTTACCTACAGTTCACAAAATCCCACCAGCCCCTCATGCACTTAAAAAATAAGGGTCCTTTAGTATTATTATATTGTTCATTGTTTATAATGTATAACAGTCCTCTTCACTTTGGTGTAATGTTTTTCTATTTCAAACAACTTGTCATTCTTTTAAGAATAAGATTCTTTGTTTGAGTGGTATCCATATTAATGTGTCTTCTCATGCGCAACCGTTAAACAAAGAAATGATACTCAAGGGAATGCCACGTGAAACAAGAAAACATAACGCCCAAGGTAAAGAGGTCTAATCCTCACCAGACAGTCGAGGAGTAGGGCATCATAAATGCCATCAAGTCCTGGTTGTCAAAGTCGAGTTTCTTGGTGATCAAGCTCATAGTGAATTGCATGAACGGTTTGCTGAACTCAACGATCTGTAGGCGCTCTGAGTTGATGGTTAGTGGAGACGTAGACAAGTCTGCCAACTAAAGAATTTTATACTTATTTTAATAGAGAATAACAAGCAAACAGCTACAAAACTAAGGCTCTGTTACACGTTTAAACTTTTAGCTGAAACTTCTGTGCAACGGCGTTGCGAGACAAGTTTCGGGTAGCAATTTCGTCCTGATACATGTTCGCGACACAAGTTTCGGTTGCAAGAGTAGAAAGCAGTTCTATTTTTTGTGAAAATTTCTCGCGGTGAAAGTTTTGCGATGACGGTTTCACCCAAAGCCTAAAATGCGCCGTGTAAACGGCCTCGTGAAAATTGTCTCGCAGCGCCGTTGCACACAAGTTTCAGGTAAAAGTTTTAACGTGTAACAGGGCCTGACAACGATGATGGTAGATACATTTTACATTTTTCAACGGCTTACTAAATATACACTGACTTGAGATCTTTTACGAGCAGTTTCACCTTCCTTAAACGTTCTCTTAGATGTCGTACGGTACGATACGTAGATGTCATATGTCTTTCACATGCAATTTATTTCTTTTTTGCTAATGTCTTTCACGGTATCTTTAAGCAATATAATTTTCTAGTCAAGTTATAAGCCATTCCGAAAGTAAGACAAAATAAGCCTTTTCATAGTTTAAGAATCGATTCCACTGCGCATGCGATTTTATCCCGAATTTCTCACCTTCTTTTGTCTAAACCTTCTTTCGTTCTTAATTAAACAAAAGAAGGTGAGAAATTCGGGATAAAATCGCATGCGCAGTGGAATCGATTCTTAAACTATGAAAAGGCTTATTGGATCGGGTTGACATTGCAGTTCATTTCGGGGCTGTTTTAGAGGACATATTTACGAGAAGGCGTCTATTTCGTGATCTCGGTAAAACATTCCCACAATGCACTGCAATGCAACTCGACCCAATTTTTTTTTTCTGAACCTCGGAATGGCTAATAAGCACAGTGTTCAAACATGTCACCGTCATGGCCACGATACGATAAGATACGTGGATACCATATGTCTTTCACATTTCATTTAGTTTTTGTTTTCCTCGGTATCTATATCATTTCCTAGTCATCATTTTTAGTAAGTCCTTACCCCTTGTGTCAGCTGTCCAACGATTCCATTGTATCTTCCTCCATCTGCCCTCCCGCCGTACAGACCATCAGGAGCCAGGTAGATATCGTAACGAAAATTCAACTTCTTGGCGATGAGATCAATCAAGTCAATACTGTATCCTTCTAGTTTCCCTTCGTTATTGCGCATCACAAAGGGTGGGTCCTTTAAACACACAAACAGAGAACGAAAATACATCTAAATATTAACCATTCAGAAATGTTTGAAAAAAACCTCCTCACGTTGGTATTACAATGGATTGTGGGGCTTTTTGAGGGAATAGAATAAACACGAGCATCTTGCAAATACGTCCCCTACAAAATTCCCACAATGCACTACAATGTCAACTCGACCCAGTTTTTCCTTAAAGCTCGGAATAGCTAATAAGATTGAGTATGGGTAGCATGTGCGTCTGCGAACTTCACAACCTTGTTAAAATCAGGCTGTTGTCTTTCCATATTCAAGCATTACAATTTCAAATCGCTTCTGTTGAGTTATAAAAAAACCTGGGCCCGGTCGTACGAAGTCTGGATAGCGCTATCCTATTTCATTGCTCCCTAAGCACAGTACCGCTTTTGTAACGTTAGGTTTAGTGCTATTGTTCGGATGACCAATCCATTGTTTTTTATTCTAATCATGTAACTCGTTCGGAGCGGTACGGGCTGGCTCAAAACTTTGTGGTCGCTCGACCAATCACAGCGCGCGAAACTCTATATTCAAGTATAAACTTACTAAATTCAGTTACTCACCACGACTACAACCACTTTCAGCCTTCTGTTGAGTTTGTCAAGGGGGATGAGTTCCGACGTAGGTCTGTTCTGGACAATTTTTTTGGTCAATTTTAACTTGTTCATTGAGTCCCAAGTCCCAACCTGAAGAAAAAGAAGACAAAATCATTAATCAAAGATGATACTTTTCTCTGTTTCGCCTGTTCATTAAAAAAGCCGCTAAAGGCTGGAATCGTCTTTTATGTTGTCAGTACAATATTAGAATTATTATGGCAAGAAAAACAAAGAGTTAGAATATTTATTTTATGTTGTTGCAAGACAGTGTTACTATTGTTCTTTCGAAACATCAAAAGCTGTAGAATTGCGTTGGCAACAGGGAAAAATGATACAGTAGGGTACCTTTACTATAATCAAGCTGTTAGGGACGGACCATTAGATAGTTGATGGGGGTGGGGGGGGGGGGGGGGGCGTAAATCCAAAAAAAAAATCGAGCAAGCACTTAAACCTCAAAAGAAATATCGTGCAACCTCTTCTGCTAGAAGAAAAACATCTAAGTCAAAAAAATAAATATCATGCAACCAAAATTCCTGCAACCCCCCCATCAATTATCTAATGGTTTATCCCTTAGTAAAGGCCATGAAACAGTTCGTTATACAATTTTCATACATACGTTGATAAATCTGTTTTCCTGTAGATTTAATACTTCTAGCCTCATTTGTCGTCTTGTGCCGTCATTACCAAATGAAATAATTCCTGTCGTGCTGTTAATCGTTAGCTAAAAATAAAAACAACTATCAGTTACTGTGGTGCTGAGGTGCTTTAATACAGTCAATTCAAAAAATGTTGTCGTCGACCAACTCAAGCCTACGCGACTGGACCGAAAGGAACTCTGGGTAGTAATCATTGAAGCCGAGATGACTCCATTATTTTATCTGACTAGTTATGCCTGGTTTACAGCACGAACCTTTGTAGGCGAGCGGGAAGTGTTGAAGGAGACGTTTTTTTAATGCCTTCATATTTTCGGAATTGTGAACTGAATCATGACTACTTTGTTTTTCTTTCCCTAAACCCGAAGACATGCATTTGATGGATTGTTTCTTGCTATTATTATCTTATTACTAGCGGGAACAATTTATTCAGAACGAATATTTAACCGCTTCAGTGATTTTTACCCATATTCCTTTCGGTCCAGTCGCGTAGGCTTGAGCCGGTCGACGACAACGTTTTTTGAATTGACTGTATATCGCTGCAATATCGAGAGCCTCGAGATGTCATACTGTTAGGGAATCAATGGAATATTATTCCCGCCTCTCACCTACATTAATAGTCTCGGATTCAATTTTTCGACTGAGCATCATATTTAAGAAACTTATACCTTACAGCCATCACTCCCCGTAAGTGGCTCCTCCGTGAGATTCGCTCTACACGCACTACCACTACATTCTCTATTTGCAACATACGACACTCAACTAATCTCATGTGGAAAGTGTTCCTTGATTCCAAGGTTTTCTTCGGGTTTTTTCCAGTTTTCTAATACATGCTAAATTGTAATTTGATCTGTGAGTCGACCCTGGTAATAGTCCCCTTCACGGTTCCCTGCGCCATCTTGAAAGGTAGCCGGGCCTGTGAATAATTGTCCAAGGTGTTAAAAAAAGGTCTCTATCATTGCAAGGTCACCGTTCGTCTCGCTTCGTTGCAAAGGCCCGGCTACCTTTCAAGATGGCGCAGGGAACCGTGAAGGGGTCTATTCTAGAAGTTGGTTCAGGACTTGATAAAACTTAAAGGCTTTTACTGTTGTAATTTGATGAACGACGCCAAGACACAACCAAACGAGCACCGCGTCTGGGTTGGAAACAGCCACCCGTGATATAATGTTTAAGGCTATCTAAAGACAGATTACGTTCACTAACCTCTTTTATTTGTTGATGTAACTGGGGTCCGTTGGCAGAGATGGTCAAACCTGTTTTGCTGGGAGTATTATCATCTCCTACCCACAATCTTTTGTTGATGAGGCTTTCTAGCGCATGCGCAGTCACCAACGTTGCGTCGAACGCAAAAAGGGAAGAGTTCTGTTTGAAATGAAAAGATGATTGGGAACAAAACAGAATTAGATTACAACTTTTTTTAACTAAACTCATCGTACCTTTTTCTACCCTTGTCGTCTATCTATCCCTTCTCGTCATAAACTACTCTTCATTATAAAATAGCTGTTATAAATCTCGCATTCTGATTGATTGGGAGCGCGTGCTTTATAAAAGCACAAAGACTACACGCGCAAATCCTCGCGATCTTTATAATTGAAGACATCACGTGCGCGAGTTTTATAAAGCATGCACACGGGGATTGGCAGAACGCGAATAAAGTGTTAGGTGAAGCACGACAATTCATGGGCATTTTCTCTTTCTTGATTACACAACGTTCTTCCATATTCATAGCAAAGAAATGAAGTGAAAGAAAGAATAACTGGCCTATCTCCAGTGTAATATAGTTTATACAGCACAGCTGACATCAAAATAAATATTTTAAAAAAAACAATACCAGCTTTACAATCTATAGAACGAGTCACAATAGATGTAACAAATGACCAGCATATATTATGCTACACTGGAGATAATCTGAATAGCTACATGCTCACATAGATCGAGGTAACATCCACGCGAAGATCGTCAGTCAAGTATCGTGTGTATTGGTTGTCCATAACATCTGGCATGAAAGCCAACATGATCTGAGAGGACTGGACTGCTAAGGGCAACGATGGAACCTAATGGAAGCAAACAGTAATATTGCTAACTGAGAACAAAAGGTTTTGTCGACCTGGTTTTAATCGAATAGACTGTTTTCCAATTAATAGTAGATTTGCTTCCGGGGGGGGGGGGGGTACTCTTGCCCGTTTAGGGTAGGGATGTGCCGCTGAGCCCTCTGAACTCTGACCCTGTTCCAGAGTAAAAAAAAAAAAGGGGGGTAACCCCCCCCCCCCCCCCGGGATTTGCATTAGTTAGTATTATATCTCTCTTCATCTCTCTTTATATCTCTCTAAAGGAAAATAATTTTTTTTTAAAAAGTATGATTAACTAAGACTGAGGTCAAACGTCGAGCTACACATGAGCCGAACCTAATGACATTAAAGAAGACTGTCTTGCTATCCGTGGTTTCAATTAGGTTCGGCTCATGCGAAGTTCGACGTTTGACCTTCGTCTAACACAACTTGACTTAAAAGGAGTGATGGACGCAAAAGGATTGAAAGCACAGGGAAAATTCCAGCCCTCTCGTTTAAACATTTTGTTCTACTTACCATATCTGCCATCAGCCAGGTATGTGGTTTTTCTATGCGAAAAGAGCAGACGCAGTGTACCTGGAAACAAATAATACCAGGAAATGTTGATGTGTATTTACAGTGTGGATACTTCATCCGGGACAACTTTGATAAACTATTATCTTCAACCAATCATATTGCAAGATCTAGTTCAATATTTTTAACCAGCCAATCAGATAGCGCATCGATAAAATAAGAGCACGACAACCCGATAATCTGATTGGCTAACGCTGTTATCAGTTCGATTTCTGCCTAGTTTAGCGTTATTTGATTGGTCAGTTTTATTCAAGAGGTACCGGTTAGTGTGTCCGCCAAGTAAAAAATCAATAGACAATATTTAGGTTTGAATTATCATTATGACGATCCTCAGCTCGAGTGTAATGTTTTCCCCATTTTAGAGCACGTGTCATTCCCTTGAATATGATTTCTATTGTTTAACAGCAACTGTTGACGATGCCATGTTGATAAATGATGATGATAGTTGATCGTTATGTTGTTGTTTGTCACGAAGATCGTGTTGCTAATTGATAAATTTTGAATATGATGACGATGGACGTGATAATGGTAGTGATGATGATGCCGATGATGCTGAAGGTGCTGGTGATGAATGTTGAAGACTACGACAATGATGATCGTGACATTAAAGTTAACCCCATGGGAAAGATTATGCTGGTTTGATGAGAAGGTAACGACGAGAATAATGATGATAAGGGAGGACGATAATGGTATCGAATAATCACAATATCAAGATGGTTAATGCTTTACCTGATCCATAACAGACGCCACGAGATCTGAGTCACAGAACAGTGCAATAGCTTGTACTGGAGCATTATGTAGACTGTTTAGTTGCCTCTTGGTGTCGTCGCAAAGAGCCTTCTCCTCGTCGATCTCTAAAGTAAGTTTACTGTACTTTGTATTGGGTGGAAGAACAGATATGAAGGCATTTGCTTGGCTTCTCCACTGGACTGAGAAAGTGAAAACATAAAAAATAAATTATAAATTAGTAGAAAAGGATACGCGGAAAAATGGGAAAAAAGTTTCATCAGTAAGGTTGATTTGGTGATGTAAAATATTTAATTTTTTTTTCTTTTTTTTTCTCTGTCTGTCTGTCTGTCTGTCTGTCAGTCAGTCAGTCAGTCTGTCTATCTGTCTGTCTGTCTGTCTGTCTGTCTGTCAGTCAGTCAGTCAGTCTGTCTATCTGTCTATCTGTCTGTCTGTCTGTCTGTCTGTCTGTCAGTCAGTCTGTCTATCTGTCTGTCTGTCTCTTGGGAGAGCCTACGTAGCAAGCAGTTGATGTAATGTTTTCATCATAAAAATGAAACCAATCACACCTAATATAATAGATAGAACGACAATAGAATACAATAGAATCACACCTAATACAATAGATAGAACGACAATAGAATACAATAGAATCACACCTANAATAGATAGAACGACAATAGAATACAATAGAATCACACCTAATACAATAGATAGAACGACAATAGAATACAATAGAATCACACCTATTACAATAGATAGAACGACAATAGAATACAATAGAATCACACCTAATACAATAGATAGAACGACAATAGAATACAATAGA